TTTTTTTTTGTCTTTTTGAGACAGGGTCTCCCTGTAGTCCCAGCTGACCTGTGTAGATGAGGCTGGCTTTGAACTCACAAGAGGATCTGCCTGCCTCTGCCTCCCGAGTGCTGGGATTAAAGGCGTGCACCACCATGCCTGGCTAAATATTTTATTTACTTTTTATTTTATGTGTATTGCCTGCATGTGAGTGCACCCGTGTCATGCAATGCTGCAGGGGTCAGAAGAGGGCTTCGGATTCCCCTGGAACTGGAGTTAAGGACGGTTTGCAGCCTCCATGTGGGTGCTGGGAATTGAACCCACGAGCAGTCGTTGCTCTTAACCGCTGAGCCATCTCTCCAGCCCCCTGGCTACTTTTCAAATAAGATTATATTGTAAACATTGTTCTATAAGTTTTTTTTTTGAGAAAAGGTGCAGCCCTGGCTAACCCGGAATTCATTATGTACACCAGGCTGGCCTCCAAATCACAGAAATCCCCCTGCCTCTGCCTCTGCTTCCCAAGAGCTGGGATAAAGGCATGTACCCCCATGCCCAGCCAGCTTCCTTTTTTTCTAAGGCTTATTTTTTTTTAATATTTATTATTTTTATTTTATGTGTATGAATGTATTGCCTGCATGTATGTGAGTGCACCTGTGTCGTACAGTGCCGCGGAGGTCAGAAGATGGTATCAGGTCCCCTGGAACTAGAGTTATGGATGGTTGTTAGTCACCTTGTGAGTGCTGGGAATCAAACCTGGGTCCTCTGCAAGAGTGGTCAGTACTCTCAACCGCTGAGCTATCTCTCCAGCCCCCTAAGACTTATTTTTTAAATTATGTGTATGTGTGTGGGTATATGCATGGGTTTCAGGTGCCTGGGGAGCCTAGAAGAGTAGGAGTCCCTGGAACAGAAGGTAGGCAGTTGTGAGCTGTCCCATGTGGCTGTTGGGAACTGAACCCCATCCTCTGCAAGAGCAGTTTGTATTCTCTGAGCCATCTCTCCAGGCCCTGTAGCTTACTTTTATATTCTTTACTTTTTTCTTATGTATATGTGTGTATGTATGTGCGTGGAGGCCTAAGATTGACCTCAAGCACTCTGTGCCTTATGTGTTGAGGCAGGGTCTCTTGCTGAACCTGGAGCTCACCAGCTGGGCTAGCCATGCTTGTCAGGCTTTTTTAAAAATGTGGGTTCTGGGAATCTGAGTCCAGTTCCCATTTACAAGGCAAGCACTTTACTCACTGAGTCATCTTCCTAACCCCATTACTTATTTCTGAAGAAATACATAATTATAGTCATTTGTTTAAAATTTGCCCTTGTGGAGACTAGAGAGATGGCTCAGCAGTTAAGAGTACTAGCTAGGTACTCTTGCAGAAGACCTGGGTTCAGTTCCCAGCACTCACATGACATGACAGCTAACAAATGCTGTAACTCTAGTTTCAGGGGATCTGATGCCCTCTTCTGGCCTCCATGGGCACCAAGCACATATGTGCATGCGTATAGGCAAAACAGTCACATACAGAAAATAAAAACAAATCTTTTTTTTTTATTTTTGAGACAGGGTCTCCTTGTAGCCCCAGCTGTCCTGGAACTCACTATGTAGACCAGGCTGGCCTCGAAGTCACAGAGATCCACCTGCCTCTGCCTCCCAAGTGCTGGGATCAAAGGCGTGTGCCACCACGCCTGGCTTTAAAAACAAATCTTTAAAAAAAGTTGCTGGATATGGTGGTGTTTGCCCTTAAGCCCAGCACCCAGGAGGCAGAGGCAGGTGGATTTTTGTGGATTGGGAGGCCAGCCTGGTCTATATAACAAGTTCCAGGCTCAACAGGGCTACATAGTAGACCCTGTCTGAATAGAAACAATTTTTACAAATGTTCATCTTTTAACAGCTGCATGATACTCCATTGCATGATATTTTTTTCCAAACTTCCATATCATGTCCATTTGGTTGTTTCCAGATTTTTCCATTTTGAACAATCTGCTGTAGTAAATATTTGAGCTTTTGTACGTGTGTGTGTGTGTGAGAGAGAGAGAGAGAGAGCGAGAGCGACAGAAGACAGACAGACAGACACTGGCGGATTGAACCCAAGGCCTTGTGCATGTTAGGGTGCTCAGCTGTATCCCAGAAGTGTTTGTAAGTAGAATTATGGCATGAAAGGATGTACACATTAAAAAATTGTGATACATATTCCTGAAATGCTCGCTTGTTAAAGCTAGTTTCTTGGCAATTTACTGTTACCAGAGTTTTAAGGCAAAAAGTCCCAGTTACTCAAGTTCCAGCAGACTAGACTCAACCACCTGTCTCGGCACACCCTTTACACAGATGAGTGATGATGAAAGGCAGAGAGAGACATGCCACAGTGGCCACTTGGGAGAGGGACAGACGAAAGGATTTGGTGCTCCCCAAATCAGTCTTCAAGTGCTGACATAAGCTTTAGGGTTTAAAATTTTATTTTAATTGATTGTTTTTATGTGTATGATTGTTATTTTTTGCGTGCATGTATGTAAGTGCACCACGTTCATACAGTGCCCGTGGAGGCCAGAAAGAGTGTTAGATCCTCTGAACTTGAGTTTTTGATAATTGCTAGCTGCCATGTGAGTGCTGAGAACCAAACTCAGATTCTCTGCAAGAGCAACCAATGAGTGCTCTTAACTGCTGAACCGTCTCTCCGGCCCCCAACTTTCCATTTAAATAGAAGAAAACTGGGGTAGGGGTAACAAGTGTGCACAGTAAGGCAGACTTGGTCAGGTCCTCATTGCTTGAGGAACAAGCCAGTTCCCATGAGATGGTTGCTCTTGCTTGAGGGTGATCTCATGATGAGATGACCTGTCTTGGAGGCTTTGCAGTTCTTGCAATCCAAGGTGACTGCAGATTTAGGACCATGGCTCTGGAAGGGGTCCTGGAAAGCTGGTGGTAAGGTACCTCTGTACCTTATTCTTATCTTTCCTCAGACCTAAGCCTTGAAGGGAGATGAAGTAGGTTAGGCGTAGCCAGTGGTTAACATGCCTGTGCGCAGAGTTAAACATGTGACTGACCCAAAGTAAAGGTGATGGATGCAAAGTGAGGGTGCCAGGTCTTTTTCCTGCCTTTGGTTTCCTTGTGGGCTCAAGTGAAGAGACAAAAGAAGTCTCTGTGTGCCTGTTTTAAAACAAGTGCATGATTTCACAGCTGTGTGCAGCAGAGCACTGTAAACATCCTTTAATAATGACTACAGGACTGCACGTGGTTGTAGGTGGACATGACTAACATGGTGATTGGTTTGGGGGGGCTACCTTTCCACTCGTGCCCACATGCATATCACTTTTCCCACTCTCCTGACCACACTGCGTATTGTCAGTCTTTTGAGTTACTGCCATCTGGTTAATAAAAGATGATAGCTGAATACTTTATGGCCTGTCTTTTTTTTATATTTGAATCTTTGATTTCTTGAAATACATCTATTCATGGTTTGAAGTAAGGGTAAAGCAGTTTTCCCCCAGTAGTATGCTAATTGACTAGGAAATTCAAAATAAAGAGAAAAATGAACTATAGGGGCTTTGTATGTTTTCATTCTGAAACTTTGATAATTTTAGTCTGAAATAAACTGGCAATAGGTTAATAGATGAAAATGCATACAAATCTAATGTACAGAAGCAGAGGAACCATATGCAAAGTATGACTCTCAGCCAGATTGTTGAAGTTGCTGCCTCTTGTCATGGAAAGAAGTAGGGCACGGGTTTCTGGAGGTGTAGAGTGGTGACAACCCTTAGCAGGTTCAGGAGAGGAGCTCCCTGGCCATCAAAAGCTGGCTTCTTGTGTAGACACAATCTCCTAGGTGGTAACATGTAAAAGACATGTATGGTCATCTCTGGGCTGAATGACTCCCAGTCTCTGCCTTCTGCAAGGTCTTTCCTAGGTGGGACTGGAGTTCTCAAGGAAGGCTTCTGTGAGTATCTGTTACGTACTTTACTAAAGTAGGTAGATGTGATTTCTTTTATCAAAGGATTTTTTTTTTTTACTCTTTGAGATAGAGTCTTCTTGTAGCCTCAGCTGGCCTAGGACTCACTATGTAGACCAGGCTGGCCTCAAACTCACAGAGATATACCTGCCCCTGCTTCCTGAGTGCTGGGATTAAACCAAAGGATGGATTTTTTAAACTCTTACTTTCTTCTGAATAACCAGATTTAAAGATGTCAGAGGACTGTATTTCAGATGGAACATTTCACTTTCCTACCAGGCTTGTTATACAGATAGTTTCCTGCCATGGAGGAATCTAATCAAGGCACAGCCGCTGAAGAGAAGGATGGATCTTTGTGCACAGAGCTATACAGCTTGTGCTACAAAAAGAAATTAGGTGTCATTCCTCCACAGTGTGGACCGCCCTTTCCTGTCTCTAGTGACTTCTCCATTATTAACTGTTATATATGGATATTGCCTTCCAAATCTGCCCTAAATACTTCTAATTGCTTTGAAGTATGATATAGCCTACTTATTGACCTATATTATTTGTAGTAGTTACTAAAATTGGGGAGTTGTGGGGATAACAACTAGCAGCCAGCTCCCCTACAGTGAAGGCATTTTCACTGTAATGAATTAATAATTTGAAATTGTAAGACCAAGACAGAACCAAGCGCATGCCTGTTTTGGAAACTCAGGAACACAAGGCCGATTTGTACACCTTGTACAGGCGGGGCTTCCTGTCCATGCTGGCTCTGCTTGCTTCAGCTTTGGTATTTATAGAGTTTAGGAGATGGGTAGGATGGAAAGCGTGGAGAGCCTGAGTGATGGAGTGGGAATTGTGAGACTTGTCTGTAAGTAAGATAGTGCCCTAACAGTTTTTTTTCTATTTTCTACATATGCTCTTACTATCTCAGGATTAACATCTCAGATACTCCTTAGAGGTTGTGGGAGAACCAAACCACGTATATTTGTTTGGTACTTTGTTTTTCGCCAATAATAAATTCTCCGCTCTGTCTTTGCCTCACTTGAGGCAGAGGGAAGCGAAGCAGTGTGTAATCAGCAGGTGATACTGCTGTTGAGACTGCAGATTGGAACTGGATCCTGAAAGGTCCTGTCCTGACTTTATAGCCTGCTAGCTGTGTGACCTCTCTCTAAGCCAGTTTCCTCATCTACAAATGGGATCATTTTACAGGATCTTTGAGAAGATTAAATACAGTAAGGTACAAAGTACTCAGCAGTATGCTTTGCATGTAATAAGTGAACTTTTTCTACCATTATTGTATGTTGAAAGTCCTTTTTTATTAAGCAAATGTCACTCAGACTTTTCCTTAAAGTAGGTGGCTTTTTAGTTTGTGTGTGCCAGAAAGACACAGGTAGCATGTTCTCTCTCATAGCTGGATGCTAGCTAGTTTTTGTTTGTTGCTTGTTTTGAGAGAGGGTCTCCCTGTAGCCCCTATCCTGGAAATCGCTATGTAGACTAGGCTGGCCTTGAACGCACAGAGATCCACTTGCTTCTGAAGTATTGGGATTATAAGCATGTGCCATCGGTCTTGGCTTTGACCTTTTCACTTCAAAGGAACTAAAGGAGTTTGAATTATAATGATTTCATTTAATTACCATAAATTTTCTGAGTACAGTCAAGTTTTGACACTTGTTCTTGAGGCTGACTTGGAATTAATTAGATTAGTTTCTTGTTTGCTTTTACTTAAATCCTCTTATTTCAAAGTCATTCGTCATTTGAACTTCACTGGAATGGATTTTTGGGACCCTCTTAACCTTCCTAAGCATTCAAAGCTCTAATTCACAGCTTTCTTTATAGATATATGGAAGTGTTTGGGAGAAGCTACGCCGGGCTTTTGCCATTTGGAGCGGCTTTGGTATGACTCTGACTGGCGTCCACACTTGTGGAGATTACATGTTCAGTGGCCACACAGTTGTCCTAACCATGCTGAATTTCTTTGTCACAGAATGTAAGTATTTAATGCTTCTATGCATGTTAGGCAACTAGCTGCAGAGGAGGCAGTGGGCTGGTGTAAAGTCCTAGGAAGAATAGACAACAGGATTGGGGATGGAACTCAGCTGATACGGTGCCTGCCTAGCATGCATGAAGCTCTGGGTTTGACCCCCAGCCATGCAATACTGGGTGTGGTACCTTATGCCTATAGTCCCAGAAGTTCAAGTTCATCCTCAGCTACAAATCCAGTTCAAGAACAGCTTGGGCCACATGAATAGCTGTCTCAAAAAAGTTGGAGGGGGCAGAATGGGAAGGGAGTAGGGGAGTCAACAGCCTACCCTAAGAAGCATTGAAAGAAATGTGTTTTAAGATGATCTTTCTGTCCTTTTTCTAGATACACCAAGAAGCTGGAATTTCTTGCACACTTTATCCTGGGTTCTCAACCTCTTTGGAATCTTCTTCATCTTGGCTGCCCATGAGCATTACTCCATCGATGTGTTTATTGCTTTTTATATCACAACCAGACTCTTTCTGTACTACCATACTCTGGCCAACACCAGAGCTTATCATCAGAGTAGGAGAGCGAGAATTTGGTTTCCCATGTTCTCTTTCTTTGAATGCAATGTTAATGGCACAGTGCCTAATGAATATTGTTGGCCATTTTCTAAACCAGCAATAATGAAAAGACTCATTGGATGAAGACTATATGTTTGTAATGAGTTTGTGGTTAAATAACAGTAGTTATGGAGTGAAAATGAGTAACTTTGCTTTGTCTCCCAGGTTGTTCCTGGATGTGTTGTGTTTTGGTTTATATGTTGGCAGATTTCCCAATTCTGAGTAAGGCTGTGATTATAAAAAGCAAGAAAGGGCAATCAGGAGTCCTTACCTAGCCGTTTGGTCAGAAGCTCAAGTAGAGGTTTTCTGCCCCTTCACTTGAGGAAGACTGTGGTCAATGTCAGGCTGTTACCCTTACATACTGAGTGTTTGGTTATTGAACTTAAGCAAATCAGCTTAAGCTGGTTGAAGAATTTTTATTGATTTTCCCCATAGGACTCTAGTCAAGAAATACTTTTTGAAGCTGTATATCATCTTCAAAAGAAAAAAGCCCAACCAAGTGAGCCATTCTTGTTCCTTGGACGAATCTCTGTCCAGAAAGTGAATGTTTTACTAACAAATACTTTTTGCCTTCTGAACCATCTTAAGCAAAGCATTTTGGGTGTGCTAGCATGCCCGAAACAAGCAGAGAATGCGGGTGCCGCACACGAAGTAACAAGGTGTGATGCGGGTGCCTGGCCCACACACAGATATGCACAGAGTGCTAGCATTTTTCACAAAAGATGCAGTTTCTGTTTTGTGAAGGTTTAGTATGAATAGCAGTCAGTATTCATGAGGAGAAAATGGCTGTATTCATGAAAATAAATTGTGATTTTAGTGATATCTGCATCTGGAATAATTGTTAGTTAGGTGACAACCCAATTGAATCCTTTTTAATGATGTGACTTGATGAGCCAAATACGAATATTTTACCAGATGTTAAAGTTGTCCTGTCAATAAGTAAGGAAGTGTGCATGCAAAGATTTTTTTTCTTCTGAAATGAAATTTATAGCAGGTTGTAGGCATAGTGTTAACTCTGGGGTTTTTTCATTTTGTTTTGTTTTGTTTGAAAGTTCTCATTCTTGACTGTTGGAAGTAAACAGTTTACTCAGATACAAAAAAGCTTGTTGCTTTTTTATCTTAAATAATTGTGTACATACATTCTTTCTGTGATTTTAGTTTGGCAGTCAAGAAATACTAGAACTTAGCTGCTGTTTATAACACTAGAAATGTAGTGTCTTCAGTAATTTCTCTTGTAACATTTGTCACTTTACTTTTTAAATGATTTTACATATACTTTTGACTGTAGCATGGTTGTAGAATTGGAAATGACCTTCAACTTAAACAATTGGAATATTAATGGTGTAGTTTTTACATTCCATTTTAAAACAAGGAGTTATAAAAGGTGCTGACATACTGAGGTCTAAACCTAGACCACAGCAGACACTTGCTCCTTCCTTCTCGGGTGAAGTGTTTTATTTTTGCACTTTGAGTTGTAGACCCACTGTTGTATAAGCTACGAAGGAACCTGGTGAATGAGTTAGGAAGGCGACATTAGGCAAGGGCCAGCCAGTGCCGAATGACCTATTTGAGTCTGTTCTAAATATTGCTCATTTCTCACTTGAGAAATGATGAAAGGCAACTCAAGTTTGATTGTTTTGAAATCTTACACTTCAGTCTTATCTTTATTGATTCTGTTACGTGTCAGGATCAAAAATGCCAATATCACATCTAAAGAAATGGCATAATCATGAAGTCAGGGATGTTTCCTAGGCTTGATTGAGTAGTTTGATTGTTGAGATCAAAAGATATGTTATTACCATATTCTCCCCCCATCCAAATGACAGAATAGGACCTAATTTAGCTAGCGGGAGACTGTTGTTGGCTTTTGGGAAAACGTTCCAAAAACATCTGTGTCAACATTAGTTTTAAAATGTTTAGTAGCTATTAATGGTAAATGTCCTAACATCAGTCTTCTTTCCTTCACATGGATTCTGTTGTAGACAAAATAGGAAAGTAAATGCAACTAATTTTGCAGAGCTGTTGACTAGAGCCTAGCAGCAGACTGCAGTGTGGATTAGAGAGTAACTTTTCAGCCTCGCATTTACTCCTGTCTATTTTGAGGGAAAGGTAAGCTAGACTTACAACTTATTAACTATCATAAGATGGTGTTTACATAAATTAATCATCTTCAGGTCTGAAAACTTTGAGACAAAATTATTTTCAGTTTTAAAAGCATGAAACCTGCATTGTTCTTGATTTTTTTTTTATTTGTCCAGAAATTTTCAGGTTTTTGTCTTTGTATCTTTTTCTTACTAAAATCCTAGTTATTGGGGCTAGAGAGATGGTTCAGTGGTTAAGAGTGAGTGTTGCTACGACAGAGGAACCAAGTTCATTTCTCAGCACCCACATCAGGCAGTTCACAGCTCCAGGGGATCCATCACCTCTTCTGGACTCCTTGGGCACCTACACTCACTGTGCACATACCCACACACAGACACACATATATACCGATAATATAAAAACAAAGTAAACCTTAAAGAAAAGAAAAAAAAACCCTGTGTAGTGAAGGTAGGATGTTTTTACATTTTGGGCGTGTTGCGGCTGTGTGGAGAATCTACATGCCTTAGAGCTATACATTTTTAACCTTACGTTTGACTTTTCAGTTGTAGACTTGTAAGAGGCTTACATCTTTGAGAGCTTAGTACAGAGGGAAGTGAAAAGTTTTTGGGGGTGCAAAGTGGTGTTAAATGGGAAGGAAGTCCTTCATGTATTCTCCATGTTCCTGGGAAGTGTTGCCCCTCCCACTCCTTTTCCTCCCCCCTTCTCTCTTGGCTGTGGTGCTACAGATCAAACCCAGGGCTCTGTGCATGCTAGAAAAGTGCTCGATCTCTGAGCTACATCCCCAGCTCTATGCCTTCTTGTTGCTTTTTTTTCTTTAAAGCAAGTCAGAGTAGTCTTATTGAAAGGTAATTAAAGTTGGTAGGGAAGGTAAGAGGTTTTAAAGATATAGTGGGGAACTTGCTTGGCTGTGTTGCGGTTCTCAGCCTGGCTGTCCTCTCCAGTTCTTTCTGACCAGCATTGCTATGGCAAAAATACAACTTCTGTGTGCTGGCATTGTACATTCATATTCTTTCAAAGCAGAAAGCAATGAGCTTAGCCTTAGAACCATTTGGTTTAATAAATGTGGGCCATTCTCAAGAAAAACCTGCTGTTGAGACCATCACCCCAACATGGTGAGGGTGATCAACCCTGCTCTGCACCTGCTGCCTGTGTATTATAACTGAGAATTCCCAAACCCTGTAATTTATAAATGGAGAACAGAGAAGCCAAATCCTTTTAAGCAATAGTCTGTTTTAGATATATTTGTTTGAAAAGTTTAATACATACAAAGTCAAGTTCACACATAGACTTGTTTTGACTATACTCAGCTAAAAAAGAAAAAGGCAGCTTTATCGTTGAAGGATACTAGATCTAAAATGCTTATGAATGTTCTTGATTTCAACTCTCTGACTTAGTACACTTAATTATTTGGTAGTCTTTTGTAGACTGGCATTGTCCTGTACTGGAAGTAACGATAGTGTTGGCATTTGTCAGTTCTTCAAGGTATTCAGGCTTTTGAGACAAGAAAGCTCCTTTCAAATTCATTTTCTTTCTTAAACAGTATTGGTTTTGTTTAGACAGCTTCAAAGCCACCAAAGCATGTCAGTTTTGATGCCAACTTTGACAGTTTAGACATTTTTTTTTTTTAAGCTAAGGCTAAATTAACCCTCTACCTCTGTAGTTAGAGCTTGTTAACACCATCAAAGGTCAGAATGCTTCAGGTGACTGATGAGACGAGAAAGAGGTGGAGTTAGTTTTGTTTTTTCTCTCTGTTGAATAGCTTTGAATGACTAAAATTAATGTAGAAGTAGGTCACATCGCCCCAATTCAGTGCCCCTGATTTCTAATAACTGATGTGATGAATTATTTTGTATGAAGTTCAGTACAAACATCTATGAAATCTTTAAGTGATTTCTTCAGTTGCCACTGTTTGTTTTTAGGACACCTTCTACTACATAGTAACGAAAGGACTTCATTCTGTATTTTCCATGTCTGGGCATAGGAGTGCTGACAGGAGAAAGAAAGCTGTGTCCTTTCAGTGTTATTTCAAATCTGTTTGCGTCTGGGCTACTGAATTGTCTGAAGAACTACACAGAATTAATTGATACTAATGTCCAGTAAAATCTTACCTTAAAATGTTTAAGTTTAATAATTTTTTATTTGAAGAATTCATGAACTGTTAGGACAATAAAATATTTACGATGTGGAACAAAGGAAGTAAAAACTGATAATGGGGGAAGCAGTTTGAGAATTCTACCTAAAAGTCTCCGTGTCCACAGAGAAACTAGTATTACTTGAAGATATGAAAGTTCCTGTGGTAGCCTTGAAGCACAGTGTTATATATAAGTAAATACCTGATTCTAAGTTAAATCCAGATTTAACTAATATATTATTTTATATCTTTGTTGTATTAAAATGTTTTAAAACACTAAAAATAAAACTTTTGAAAGTTGACTTGCAGTTTCTTATTTAAAGACTTTGGCGCACCGTTAATATAGCATGTTTTTTGTTTTTTTTTAGGGTTTTTTTTTTGACACTCTTGCTATTGCTGTGTGACCTCAAACTGGTTTTGTCCTTCATTATTCTCCTGAGTGCTAGTGCCAGGGTGCCCAGTGAGTTTTAGGTTTTAGGGTTGTTTCTTTGTGTTTTTTTTTGGCAAGTGATTGAGCATTACAACTTGACTTTTTGAAATTTTTTTTATGTGTCTGTGTGTATTGTGTACCCATGTCATGCAGTGCCCACAGAGGACAGAAGAGGGCATCAGATCCCCGGAACTGGAGTTAATGGGTGGTTGTTAGCCACCACATGGATGCTGGGATTCGAACCCCTGTCTTCTGCAAGAACAGCCAGTGGTCTTAACTTCTGAGCCATCTCTCCAGTCCCTGCAACTTTATTTTTTTTTAATTTTTATTTAGTTACATTTTTTTGTCATGTGTGCACACGTGTGTGTGCATGCGCATGCACCAGCCAGCCACAGCACATATGTCAGAGTTAGAGGATGGCTTGCTGGAGTTCATCACTATGTGAGTCCCAGGGATTTAACTCAGGTCATCAGACTTGGCCACCTGTGCCTTTATCCACTGAGTCTTTTTACATTGGCCCTATTAGACTTTAAAACTCTAGGATGCAATATTAGGTGTTTACTAATTCTTAGATACCAATTTACCTGTTATAGGATAAGAAGTTGAGGGCCAGAGATGTAGCTCAATTTCAGAGCACTTGGCCTAGCATGTGGGAGGTCCCGGGTTTGATCACCAGCACAAAAAGAAAGAAATTGACAGATACTTGAAAAGTGGAGGTAGGGAGTATTAGGAGTTGAAGGCCAAACTGATCTACACAGCTGCATGGCAACCTTAAGGCCAGCCAGGCATGATTGTATAAGACCCTATCAAAACACAAAAACCAGCCAGGTGTGGTGCTGCACGCTTAAAATCCTAGTACTTGGGAAGTGAAGGGAGAATCAGAGGTACAAGGCCATTCTCAGCTATACATTGATACTGAGGCCTGCCTGGGTACGTGAGACCCTTTCTTAGAACTACACAAGGCTAGGCATGGTGCTGCATGCCTTTAATCCCAGTGGTCAGGAGGCAAAGGCAGGTGGGTCTTTGTGAGCTCTACACCAGCCTGATATACATAATGAGTTCCAGGTCAGCTGTGGCTACTGAAAGACCGTCTCAAAAAACAAACTGGGCATGGTGGCACATGCCTTTAATCCTAGCACTTGGGTGGCAGAGGCAGGCAGATCTCTGTGAGTTTCAGCCTGGTCTACATAGTGAGTTCCAGGCCAAGTGGGGCTACAGGGAGACCCTGTCTCAAAACCAAAAATAAAAAATGCAAACCAAAACAAAAGACAAAAAAATACTCAGAAACAAACCAAAAAAAAAAAAGAAAATCCTACTTACTCCTGACCACATTAAAGTTTTTGCCGTGATGGCTCTTGTTTTTACAGCATCAGGGATCAAATCCAGAGCTTCAAGTGTGCTAGGCAAGGGTTGTATTAATGAGATGAATCCCCAGCCCCTGAAGTTGTTTGATTGGTTTTGGTACATCACATAGGAAGATTGCATCAGTTTGTTAGAAGAGCTTTGGAAAATGATGAACCAGGCAAAGAAGGGAGAAGAGTTGTTTAGGGCCCAGTAGCTTACTTCAGAGACTTCATGGTGTGGGACTGATGATCTTAACCAGTGACTGAACTTGTCCCCTTGATTAATACTAGTAGGTAACCTTAGTCGTACTGGCCCTATCTGGTCTTTCTTGGGCACTTAAGGAAAACACAGTCTAGAACAGATCTGGAGATAGTCTGGTCGAATGAAAATGCACTGATTTATAATTTTTAGTGTGGGGGTATGGATGTCCATGTGTGTGCCAAGGCGATGTGTGGAGGCCAGAGGTCAACTTCATGGAGTTGGTTCTCTCCTACTTTTAGGTGAGTTCTAAGGATAAAACTCAGGCCCTTAGGCTTTTGTACATAGTACTTTTACCCACTGAGCCATCTTATAGGCCCCAAACCACATTCTTTAGAGGAATAAATGAGTAATTGAAGACCTCCTGACTGAACATCTTCAGGGCCAGGGGAAGGAAGGGGAAGCCTTTGATTGCCTGATAACATTTTCATCTATAAGTAGTGAGGTACACAGCTAGCTTTCCTAGTAGGACTTCTCAGTGGGGGGAGGGGTGATAGTGGGGAAGGAACTACTGAGACAAACTTACTGTCCTTATTGTTATAGTCTGGGATCCACAAATGCCAAACAAACAGATGAGTCTAGAGAAAAAGATTTATTACAGCCAGGCTACACTCTTTCCTAAAGGGTCCGAGAGTAGCACCAAGCCTAAGCATGCTGGCTCTTTTTATATTGATCATGCTGCTAGGCAAGCAAGCAGAATACAGAAGTCAATCATGAGCGTTAAGCTTGAACAAACATTATCAAGGAAATTCATAAGAAAATACAATTCTCCATCTAAACCTCCCCACCCGAACCAAAGTACACCTGCACAGAACTAGCTTCCTTCTCTTTCATAAACAGACATTATCAATCTTACTGTTACTCTACATTTGACATTGCCTTCACTGGTCACACAGTTCCCTCTGGGGGGGTTTGGTGTATAGCAATTGTGTCCTAGGAACCTGATCTTTTAATTTTTTTTTATTTTATGTGCATGCATGTATTGATTGCATGTATGTAAGTGCATCCATGTCGTGCAATGCCCATGGAGGACAAGAGATCATCAGATCCCCTGGAACTGGAGTTACAGAGAGTTGTTAGCTTCCATGTGGGTGCTGGGATTTGAACCCAGGTCTTTTGCAAGAACAGTCAGTGTTCTTAACCATTGAGCTATCTTTCCAGCCCCTGGAACCTGATCTTTTTAAAAGTTTCCCAAGCTTACAGGTAGAGAGTCCTCTAGACAATTTCTGTTAAGCAACAATTACTATTCTGCAGAAGCAAGCCAAGAATAACCTACAGAAGCCATAAATCAGCAGTAAGCAGGAGCACTCTAGGTCACTCTGACCTGTCCTCAAGACGACCAGGGCTCAGCTGCTGTGTTCCCATAGCCTGGGCCAACTGCCTGATAATTTCAGAAACTAGAGTCAGCCTAAACTTTAACATGGCGTAGTTATGGTCGAGTAGGTGCACTTATACTTAATCTCATGGTAGTTTGGGAGAGTGAGGGCTCTAACACAGATCCAAGAAAAGTTCAGTAAGTATGAGGAACTTGAACTAAACCCTCCCTGAAGGACGTTAGAGAATCCACCCAGGGTTTAGCGGGCTCCAATTGCAATGCAAAAGAAAAAAGGAATGGGGCCAGTGAAGTGACTCAGCAGGTAAAGGTGCTTGCCGCCAAGCCTAATGACCTGAGATCTATCCCTGGGACCCACATGGTGGAAGCAAAGAACCGAGTCCCACAAGTTATCCTTTGTCCGCCATACACAAGCCTTAGCATGCCCCCCACCTAATAAAGAACTTCTAAAAATCAGATATATTTGTATGTAATAGGGAGCTATTACCAGTTTTTATTTAATTACAGATGAACCCTTAGGAAGACCCATTGCTAGTAGTTGTAGGTACAGGTTTAAGTAGTTCTGTAAAACTGCAATAGGTAAGGACAGAAGTATAAGTCAAAAAGAGAGCTAAAGGCCTGGGGCTATACCTCAGTGGTAGATGGTTTGCCTTACATGTGCAAGACCCCAGATTCAACCCCCAGTCCTCCCCAGCCCCCCCACCAAAAAGAAATAAGATGTTAAATATGAAATGAGATGCAAACAAGTCTAGAGGCCCTACTGTGGTAGGTCAGGGAGCTGAGACTATGCACAACTTACAGGAAGCCTTTTCCTAGCAAGGAGCACCAAGGCACCAAAGATATAAACTGTCAACTGCTATTGGCTGAGGTAACATGAATCTAGGATATTATCTATCTTAGATCCAAAATTTCCTGTCTGTTGGCCATGCAGCTAACCACTTGCTCCCAGGAGTGCTAGGCTCTCAAGCATAAAATGGAATAGTAGTCGGCCCTGGCAGAGATGTGGGAGGAAGGGGAGCTCAGTCAGGTCCTGCAGCTGTAATGAAGAAGACCAAATGACAGTTTGAAGGTCTCTGCTAAGTAGCATGTTCCAGCTTACAGTACTCCTTACATGAGCCAAAAGTGGAAACCATGATTTCTTTATACTTTAGCCTTAAAAGCCTCAGATCACACTTTGAAGAGAATATGTTAGATAAAGACTAAACAACCTTCAGTAAGAAGCAGGCTAAGGGTATAGTCTTCAAGCCTATTCCGTGGAGAGTGCCTTTTGGAGGCCCAGCTGGAGGACATTTGGGTCACAGTGATGCAACTTGAAGAATTTCAACACATTTGAAATGCGTAGAAATTTGATAAACACAAATGTCTAGGCAATACACTTTCTTTGCTGTTGGTTCCACAGTGGTGCCTGTGACTTATATTTTTAAAGCTATTAATTTTAAATAAATAATTCATGAACAGGATAATAAACCATGTAATGAAAACTTTTCCTCTCGCCCCTAAGCTTCGGCTTTTAGTTCTTTTAGGAGGTAGCCATTTTTAACTGGTTTCTTGTGTTTTTCCAGAGAGAGCCTGTGCATATACACAAGCCCATATGTGTTTAAATTTCTACATTATTTTGCAGAAGGCAGATTTATTGTTCATTGCAGTCAGGGAGAATGTACAGCTTGGAGAACAGTGAGGCTTCCCAGTAGAAGATAAAAGATTTGTAAGGGCTGGGGTTAGATGGTATAATGATCCGATCTTGTCAACTTGATAGGATCTAGAATCACCATGGAAACAAAGGTCAGGGCATGTCTGTAAGGGATTATCTAGATAGGTTAATTGAGAGGAGAGGAGCCACCATTCCATGGGCTGAGGTCCCAGACTGAGCAAAAGGAGAAAGTGAGCTGAGCACGAAATTCATTGCTCTTCCTAACTGGGCGCAGTGTGACCCAACT